AACTAAAGGTGACATAGATACTTTATTATGGTATAGTATTTAAATATATGCCTGAGAAACACATAATATTGGCCCTTTAAACCTTTATTTATTACAGGGACAGTGCATATTAATAGCATTTCTGTAAATATGCCAGAATTAGCCAGAAGGCTATTTTTCACCTGCAGTCCCCAGACATTGTTGTTCTGGTCATATCACATCCACATTGAGGTAATTAAGGTAAAATGTGTTTATTTGTGAAATTAGACATTTTCTCTTCTATTGGCACATCCATAACACACACACAGCTTTCTGACATATTTACATTTTTATGTACATTCTACTGTATACCTTCTATACATTATTATTCATTTATTTATTTATTTATTTATTTATTTACTTTACGATATTGTTTGACATTGCTAGGCCATTTGCTTACAGATGTTTGCCCTCTCGGCGTTAGTGAATCTTTCGGTCACGTGACCAGTGCACACTCTAGTTGTTTTGTAGAACTCTATGGTAATTGCAATGATCAGAYGTAATCATGGTAACCACCAGTAGTGTTGTAGTACTTGAAACCGGTCTTGGTCTTAAGACCGGTMTCAAGACCACTTTTTGATGGTCTTGGTCTTGTCTCAGACTCGACAGCATTTGTACTCGGTCTTGTCTCGGTCTCGGACATTGAGRACTCGGAATTTTATTTCAATACCAGTCAAGACCACAACTGTGGAAATATCACTAAATAGACAGATTATTGTCCAGTTTGTTTAACATCCTTGCTTTCATTGGATTTAAAATGTACAGTAGGTAATGAATCAAATCCAAACTTGACTTGTTGCTATTTATGTATTTTTGTTAGCGGCTGTCACCCATCCCCACTGTCTTCACTCACACACAACACTCCAGGAAAGTGAGCAGTGGTTCTCTAGGAGCAGTAAAAGATGTCTTCAAAATTTTAAGTAAAAATTTTGGCTACATTATTCATAAATAATATTATTGTAAAACAACAACCATGAGAAAGCGTACAGCAACTTGTTCATTCAGCAGTGCTTCACTTTCAGAGACAATGGGGACAACTTTAAAGTTTTATCGTCACTGTTAAACTTCCTCTGTAGCAAAAGTCTTTCCTCTGCCCTCACACAAAGATTTTATCAATATTAGCTCTACATATTGTTAGCTAAAGTGGGGAGAAAAAGTATTTAGTCAGCACCAATAGTTCAAGTCTCCCACYTAAAATAATGAGAGAGGCCTGTGATTGACATCATAGTTAGACCCCCATGAGAGACAAAATACTTTTTCCACACCACTGTACATGTGTACAGAATACTCCATCTTTTAGGACACTTTTTTTCTGGTCTTGGTCTTGTCTCGGTCTCGCCCTCCCTTGGTCTTGGTCTCGACTTKGTCCAAACCCTAAAAGTCTTGGTCTTGTCTCGGTCTCGCCCTCCCTTGGTCTTGGTCTCAACTTGGTCCAAACCCTAAAAGTCTTGGTCTTGTCTCGGTCTCAAGACACTGTGGTCTTGGTCTTGACTTGGTCTCGGGTTAGGTGGTCTTGACTACAACACTAACCACCAGGTATTAGTACTACAATCTGGCAAATATCATGATGATAAAGATCCAACTGCAGTCACCAAGTTTGTTAATCAAAATGCAAACAAAGCWGTAACATCCAAAAGTTGTTTATAGCAAGTAAAACAAAAGATATGTTTGTGCAGTTCTTACTTCTTTATTTAGAGTTTTTCAGTGTTGAAGGAGTCTTTAAGGCTTCTTTGGCTTTTTCAGTCCAAGGAATAGTTTCAGTTTGGTCATGCGAGTCTTGGGTTTTGTTGAAAGCTCTTTGTGTTGAGGAGCAGGTTCCCCCTGCAGCTCAGAGACCCGTGGGTCCTGTTCCTGCTCTGAAACCACACTCGGCTCCTTCTGCTTGGTGCTTTCTTGTTTAAGGAACTGGACTCTSTGGTTCTCAGCAGTTCCAAGCAGCGGCATTCTCTCAGGGGTGTTGTTCAGCTGGTCCTGTGGGCATCTGGTCCGGTCCAGGGCAGCCCTCAGTCCTCTGATGACAAATAGATTTGCTAAAGCTCTTTGTRCATGAAACCTTCTCTCCTCCTTCTGGTGTTTCTGGTCGAGTTCTTGGAGAAGAGCTGCATTCTTTGCTTTTTCTCTCTCTTATTCGGCCTTTAAATTGTCCGACTCTTTCAGCGTCTTCAGGAGATCCTGGAGCTTCTGGTCAGTTTGGGTTCTGTACACCACAAACTTTTTGAATTGCACACAGTTCTTGTCCAGTTGTTCATGCAGCGTYGCTCTGTTTAGTCTTTGATCTTGTTGCTGCAGTGGATGAAAACATCTCCTGGTTTTCAGCTAAGCTCGGTTTGTTCTCGTCCTGTGGGCGTGGCCCCAGCGCGCCTTAGCTGGCCACTCCCACACCTCGCCAGTGAATTCTTTTCACTCCTCTGTCAGAAATCTTGTGAGGAGCACCTGGTCGTGGTCGGTTTATGGT